ACCTTAGTTTCCAGATACCAAGTCAAATTGCTGTTGACTATTCTCTCCATAGTTTTACATAGGCAACTGGTTACTGCTCTCGATTTGTGGTTTTCATGGTCAGTGGAATCATTTCCTGGTTTTGGAATAGGTATGATGAATAACTGTCCCAACATTTCTGGGAAGTTGACATTTGTCCATGTTATTATACATTTTTAATAACAGTTTTAATGATTTGTTGGGTAAATATTTTATAATTTTGTAGAGGTTATCTGGACCCACAGCGTTATTGTGTTTTTTTAAAGATTCATTTAGTTCCGTCAGAGTGAATGTTAGGTTAGAGCTCTCGGCATTATTCGATTTAAAATTTAGTTTTTGTTTTTCCGTTGTTTGTTTGAGCTTTAGAAATTGTTGGCAGATGATATTTTAGAAATGGTTTGGGATCGTTGGTCAGTAATATCCTCTTTACTGGCTATTGTAAAATCATTTATTGAGACGTGTTTTGCAGGGTTTGTTATGGTATTTGCCTGCTATTTTCTTTATCATATTTCAAACTGAATTTGTTTTTGTAGCTGAATTAAGTCTGTTGACGTATTTTTTCTAACATTCTTTTTGATTTAAATTGTTTTCCGTGCTTTTGCTCAGAGTTCCTTAAACTGAAGCAAATTAGGGGTTTTTAGATTGTTTGTTGAATTCCCTCAGACCTGCTCTTCTTAGCCATTCAACAAAAGTCTGTTATGTTTTTTCAAGTTCAGTATTTAGGAATGCGTTTTTTAGCTATAGAGATAAGGATTTCCGTGAAATGCTTTAAGCCCTTGACTCTTTTTCCTTCAACTACTTTTTCAGAACATTGGTATTTAAATAATTCCCAGTTCGCTTCACCTAATTTCTAACGGAGATGATTTTTGTTATTATGTTCTGAGTTATGTAGTACAATTGGCAAGTGATCGCTTCCGAATATGTATGCTAGTATTTTCCAAGAGGAATCCCTTCACATTGATTCACCACATCTGGATAAATCTATTGCCGAGTAGCTACCAGAGAATGGATTTATGTAAGTCGGGCTTTATTATTATAAATGCATAAATTGTTATAAATTATTGTTTCTAATGTCCTTCCCTTTTGGTTTGTGTCTTCACCCATCTATATGGTACTGTGACAGTTAAAGTCTCCAAGTACCATAAAATGGACAAGGAGTTCCTTTATAATTTCATGAATTTTAGCTTAATTTAAGAGTTCATTCGGTGGGATATAAACTGAGCGGATGTTTATTGACTTGTGTAAGGTCATCTTAACAGTAGTTTAAAAGTAGTTAAATTTATTTTACTTTGAGGTACAACATTCCTGAATAGGTTGGATTTACCACTTGAAGCACAAAGCCCAGTGTCATCTGTTTAGTTGTATTAATGGTATACTTTTATATTTAGTTGTTTTGCTAAGGAATGTTTCCTGAGGGCCAACAACTGCCAGTGATAGGTCTATTATTAGCAGTAGTCCATGTATATTTCCTTTTATTCCGCGGCAGTTCTATTGAATTATTTGATAAATGATTGCTAAATACTTTGGGGATTTTGCTTAGTATGTGGTTGTGTCTGGGTTTGGAGGTTTTGGTCGTATGTGTGTTCTGGTTTTCCCCCTACATTCCATTAGAGGACACAGTGGTGTAATGGACAGCGTCTCGGATTGAGAAATCGGCGAGCCGAGTTCGATTTCAGAGTCGAATCCATTATATTTACTTACGTGCTAAAGGTATGAATTCTCGTCTTCTCACACCCATATGTGCCCTATAGCCTTGTATAGTCTACCGCAGAAAGAAATGGCAACTTACTGCGGGAGTCATGTATCGCGTATATCAACATGGCTCAAAATTGACTGACCTCGATTCCAGTTTGTCAAATCGGTTTTGAGTAGGAATTTGGTCACTAAATTTCTGGTTCTGCTTTATTTGGTGGAGTATAAGTTACTAAGTCTATTTTTGATGGTTTTTAGTGGACGGATAGGAAATCTCAGTGACTTTTGCTTTGTAAGAGATTTTTTAAGGAGTGGTTTGTACTTGTTTTTTTCTTTATTAATTCAATTCTTTCATTGGCTTTCGTGATTCAGTCTGCATTATCTCCTTGGAGTTTATACCTTTCAGTTAGTTTTGAAGTTTGGGTCAATTATTTGGTCAAATGTCTACGAGCTTCTAAAAGAGAGCGTTTTATTTGGCATCTCGACTATCTACTTTTTCCTTTTCCAGTAGTCGCATCAAAGTGAGTATGCTGAATGGTTTTTACTTCGTACATCTTACTGCCTTGTGGCATTCTTCTTCCGTGTGGTGTGAACCACATGTTAGCCGACTCCTGCATCTATCTCGATGATACCCCAATTTTTGTCACTTTAAGGACCTTAGTGGAGGAAGAATATATGCTTCCATTGGCTCAATATTGTATCCAACTTTTATTTTCTTGAGAATTTGTGGTGTGACAAAAGTAAGGATATACGTGTCTGTTTTGATGATTTCTCCTTTTCTACAGTAATCACAGACTCCTTGGTTTCCCAAGGCAGATGTGATTTCCTTTACATATGCCCAAAGACAACTCTCTGCTTCTAGTGACTCCGTTAGAAGCGTTCACTCTTTCATAGGGGAAGGTTTTTATTTTGATGTTACGAAAAAAAGTCTTCATCGAGATTAAACTTTCGGCGTGTTTTCTATTTTCTATTTCTATCAGAAAATGTGTTTCTTAATTTCTTAAAAGTTTTTGGTTAATCCTACTGGACAGCATTTTTCAATCAAGAATTGCGGGGGGGGGAGGAGGTTTTGCCAGCGCAGATTCATCTACGGACGCAAGCATAGGGAAATCTGTAAATTCAGTACTTAATTCTTTCTCAGTATCAGAATCTGAAAGATATATATTTTTTATTTTGGTTATTCATAATTTTGAAACAGAAAAGGTTCACTGCCTGTTCTCCCCCACCCACTTCGTGTCAAGGGGGACATCAGTCACTTTAACAGGTTAGGGCTACACAAACCAGTACACTCGTATTTGGGAGAAACTCTGAGTACTCGTTAAACCATTTGTTGCCCTCCCCAAGATGTTGACAGCCACGTCTAAGTCTACATCTCTTAGAACCGACTGAATCCTCAGCCATCGCCTTCCGACGCCTATAAATTGGATAGAGAAGGAATTTTACAGAAGGTATATAATTGGGGGTATTGTATTTAGTTATAATGTACTACATAAATTGATATAGTTATAGGCGTTAGGGCATGATCAGCCGATTGATCAGATCGGACCTCTCCAACCGTCCAAAAATGGAGTGTATCTCACCCTGACTCCTGAAGCCCTCAATCACCATGATGCCGACCCTAGATATTACGAGTCGCCATCCAAGGCAATCAGGTGGCCTCAGTGGGGAGGGGCGTCTTAGTCCTCTGCAGAGGTGCAGTAAGCGTATTCTTAAGCCCCATCCGACAGCACGACCCCCGTCGTTGATGAGAGAGCAATAGTTTAGATATTTCCCCCAAACTCAACTCTTGCCGTAAGTTATAGCAAGTGGACAATGTGTGAATTGGTAAACTTGTTATTAAGTGCCTGTGATTATATTTTTATCGTCCTTTTTTTTTTAAAAAAATATATTTACTGTATCTTTTGCACTAATGAATGTTCATTTTAAAATCCTGGCATTTGTCAATTTGAAATTCAGCTTTTGCAAATTTGGAATTCGGTGTTTTTAATCTAAAGTTCCTATTTTTTAATTTAAAGTCGAACTGTCTTAATTTGAAGTTCAACTTTTTTAATCTGAAGTTCAACTTTTTATTATGATGGCAACAATGTGCAGTAAGCCACACCCATCTGCATTCTCTCTTTTCAGATAAAAGTAAGATTGAATAGGCTGAAAGGGTCGTTGAAGTAATACTTCATTAAACGATGGCAGAGTCAACCAGACAGAATGGCGACAACGAAAAAGTCCTGTTCACTTATTTAAACAACTCATCGCAACTAGAGCAGAAACGAACTAACGACACAGCTTATGATGAACTCAGATATTGACGTACAAATATTGGCTGAGTAAATATTTACATGTAAACAGTAATAAACAGATGAAGAGAGTCAGCAAACGTCCCGTGGGGTGATAATGACTTACGCAAAGAAAAACCCGCATTGCTAGATTTAGACCCAAAGACACAGGTATTCTGAAAATTGATTGAAAATATTCAGGTACACACATATACACACGCACATTTGGTAATTTGTGTTAGACCTGATATAAAAACTAGTAAGGAGATAAAGACTACATAGTTTATAGTAATTTCTAAGGAATTCGTGGATTTTATTTATAATCCGGTCTTAGTACGGAATACTTATTAAAAGTTTTGAATGTCCAGACCGGTCGATGTCAATTATAATGTTTAAAAAAAAGTCTACTGCTATACATAAATATACATTTATACAGGGTGCCCAGTAAAATAAAAAGGATAAATTCAGAAATAAATTTATCTAGCTATCATGATTCATGCATAAACTGAACAATCATCGTAGATGGTCGAGATGTTTGTCTGAATGTGCAACACAAAATGGTAAGCGGAATAACCAGGAGGCAGTAGTTTTGCGGATAGTCTCAAGAGGAATTTAATTCCAAGTTTCAGTTGAGTTCCATTTCAATGCATCAATACAGACGATGTCATGACAATGGTTTTGCAAGTGTTTTCGGAGTATTCTCCAGATATAGTAATCCGTAACATTCAGATCTGAGCTTCACATCATTATTTAACCCCTACTACTTGTGTCTCTATTTTTCGTTTGGTGTGTGAGGTCCCATAATAAAAGCCTTCTTCCGAATTACATTGGTCTTAAATATTTATAGGATAACAGAAATTAATTGGCGATATAATCTTTCTGTTAACAAACTTAGTTGAGGTTGTTATATATTCATTCCGGCCTCAGTATATATGAGGCTAAAAACTAACTCATGTGGCTAAACGAAGAACGGACAAGCACCCTTAAGGTAAAGAAGATTCCCCATCGATATATGTTAAGTTAGAAAGATAATTTGGAAAAAAAAAAGAAAAGAAAAAGTAGCATCTGAAAAAGAGAAAAATATCGAAAGAGGAAAATAGAGAGGGTGAATGACAGGAAAAATGAAAATGAGAGAGAAGAGATGATCTAGAGAAATCGAGAGAGTTGGAGAAAGAAGAGAGAAAAAGATATATATATATATATATATATTAATACGGAAAAGATAGAGAGAAAGATGAAAGGAAAATATTTTAAGAGTGAGCGGGAGAGTTAGAGAGAAAACGAAAGATTTAAAAGTTGTAAAAGAAACTAAGACTAAAACTCACAGATAATGACGAAGTGAGAGAGAGAGAGAAAGAGAGAGAGAGAGGGAGAGAGAGAGAAAGAAAGACAGATAGACAGAGAGAAATATATATATATATATAGAGAGAGAGAAAATGGGATAAAACAATAATATAAATTATGAAAGAGAGCGAGAGAGAGAGAGAGAGAGAGAGAGACAAAGACATACAGACAGAAAGAGATAGAGAGAGAGAGGGAGAAAGTGGGATAAAACAATAATATAAATTGAGAGAGAGAGAGAAAGACTTACAGACAGAAAGAGATAGATAGATAGATAGATAGAGAGATAGAGAGAGAGAGAGAGGGAGAGAGAGAAAGAGAGAGGGAGAAAATGGGATAAAACCATAATATAAATTATGAGAGAGCGAGAAAAACTGAACTTGGGAAATACTGAAAAAGAGAGAAAAAAGATGAGTTAGCAGTCGAGAGAGTGAGTGAGAGAGAGAGAGAGAGAGAGAGAGAGGGAGAGAGAGAGAGTATGTCAGAGAGGGAAAAGAACTGTAAAAGAAAGACAAGGACTGTAAAAGAGAGACAAAGACTAAGAAAGAGAAGGATTGAGAAAGAAGACAGAGCAAGTGATAAAGTGCTGTTGGTGGGTTTCCTAGTGAAAGAGATAGAGAGAAAGGATGAAATAGGAAAGAGATGTTTGTTTGTGAGAGAAAGAGAGCGAGAGGGTAAAAGAGTAAGAAAAAAACCTGATAATGAACGAGAGGAACTGAGATTGAGAGTCATATAGAATTAGAGATAGATAATGAATTACAGATAAAGAGCAAAAGGAAACATTTCATGTTGATCAGACATTATTTGCCATGTCGATAAAAACACAAAATAAAGGAACTTCAATTATTTATATTATAAGAGATAAACAAAAAAATAGCAACCTATTAAGCGAACGAAAACAGACCAAACTGACTTTTCAATCTACGCCATTCTTTCTTTATTTGCAGCTATCCGTTATCTATAATAAATACTGGTTATCACAAGAAGGTTTTAGCTAAGCGTAATGGAGATCTCTTTTCGTTAATGCATTCAAGTAGTTCGTGGGTCTTTTGATAAGATGAGATTTCTTGCATCATGAATATGCATAAGGCACAAATGAGAATGTAATATGGCCGAACAACGTAAAAGAGAGAGTCTTAATGCTTCTGTCAGATTAAGCTTTTAATGAACTTCAATAATTGACAAAGACCCCGATAAGATTTATGGACGCACGAACTGAGCGATTGTGAAAGTTGTTCAAACGAGCAACTAGATTGATAGGAACTGATTGGTCCCAAATTATTCCAAACCTTCAACAGTGATATGATGCTGCAACATCGGTTGCATAACGATCATATAATAAAAGTAGGTCTCCACTCCCAGCAGTCGGATCGAATTAATATTACATTTTATTTACAGTGCAGCAAGTAGCTTCTAATTTCAACTGTCATTTATTAGTCGATTTCTAGCGGAACAAAATATCTAGTTGGGATTCTGAACCGAACAATTTATGCTCAAAAGCGTAACAAAATAATTACCATTTTATTAATCGTCGCAGTGCTGACAGAAAAATGTGTGTATTTTGTTTAATTTGGTATCAACCCACGCAAGGGAGTAAAGCCACTAAGACACAAGGGATTACATGTTGTGGAATAATTAGGATCACAGACATTAATAATGAGTGGGAATATAAAAGAGTAATCAGGATAACAACAAACATCAATTGACATTGCATTTAAATTTTTGCTGATTAAAGTTGGCTGGAAAGCATGGAGCCTGAAGGGAGTTCCACAAGCGAGAGAAGAAACTGTTAGCATAGAACTTACGGTTCCATCTCGCCAACTCAATTGTAAATTGATGAGATCCCGACGCCAGTCTAGTGCTGCGCTTAAATTAAAAAAAAGTCTAATAACTAGGGAATGAAATCGCCGAACAATTATCATGAAAGTATTTATAGAAAAGACACAGGGAAGCAACCTTACAGCAGTGAGAAAGTGACTGAAGCCGAGGCCCCAGATAAAATTGCTGATTCTTCTTTAGATTTTATCAAAGAGCTCAAGGTAAACAATAGGAGCACTTGATCATATGTCGTAGCAATATTCTAAGCATGGATGCATTGTAGACTTATAGATATGCAAGATAGATTCTAGAGAGAAAAATTGTCTCGCACGACACATAGAGTGTTCGGAAATGAATATCTTATTTCACAAAGAGAATTAAAAACCTATTTCCAAGATGAAGAGCTTATGATAACTGCACATCTTACAAATAGGTTTTTAATTATTATTCACGGTCATGTCCTCGTCTTTGTTTTCATGATTACAAAGTTTCTGCCGCTGTGTTAAAAAACAAATATCCGAATCTAAATAATTTGAATAACAATTATCACCTCATCGCCATCGTAGAAAATGTTTCTATTTCTTATTATGAAATTATTGTAAACGCTGTCCTGATTCACTGGATTGAGTTCATGGGAAAGGAATCTATTTAGTTTTGCATAACCGCATGTTTAGTCATTATTAAAGCTATATTTATCTTGAAGGCGATCTGTTTCGAACAGACAATTTTAAGCGATCATTTCCCAAAGTGGTTGATCTGCGCGAATGAAGATTAGAAGTATAGTAATGTACTAATCATAGCTTACATGTTGTACAATGTACAAGTATAGAGCACATAGTGAGGATCGAACTCGCTATCCAGTCGTAATTGATCTCGCAAGACAAGCTTGCTAGCCATTATACCATGTCGCATTGACCAGCGATATACTAAGTGTAGGTTAGATGTAGCAAAAGCTGATCTCGCATGACAACAGGTCGATGTGGCCATGGAGCTTAAATTGTACAAACCAAACCAAACCAAAACCAAACCAATCCAAAACCGAACGATGTAAATATTTACACTATGTCATCTCAGAAATATACAGAGAACATATATAAAATTCATATATTTTTGTTTAATCTCTGGTACATTGACGTGAACTTTTTACTCGAGCGATTCACGGAGCTGACTATGTTCCCAGTATTTTTAGCGATGGATCATCTGTAGAAATTACACTTCAGCTCTGGTTTGAGTTTAAGTTCAAGGCAAGGCTGTTAGAGCTAGGTCAGAGGAAAGATCAGCGGCCAAGCTCTAGACTGGCCGTTAACAACTACCTTCAGAGACCTACACGTCAGGAATAACGTTATTATTGAGAATGCACTTCCACTGATTACATCGCTAAAGAGCTTGTGCAGCAAACCTGTGCTCCACACTTTATCAAAAGACTATGATATATCTAATGCTATCGTTCTTGAGATATATTTGTTGTTTAGTGCCTCAATGATTTTGTAAGTAATAGTATTACGGTCATTTTTTTTCCGGTATTGCATGTATGAGTTCAACTTGAGTTTTGGATTGAGCTTAATTCACAATAGGCGTTCAAGACACGGGGCCTATTAAAGGAAACACTTTTCATAGCGAAACGTGAAAATTTAAGAGATTAATTTTACTTGCTTGTTAGCATGCATAGACACATTCATGACGAAATTGAAAAACAAAACAAATTATATCTCTAGATTTTCTACCCAATAATTATGGTTTTAGATCACGAGAAAATTACACGAAAAACGAGACACTAAGATCACAAAATTACAGATACAAGTGTTATTGCATGTATACCTGTTTTTGTGTGTGCAACTAAGTGTTTAATGAGGGTGTGGGCAGAGAAAATGAAAGTAATGATACCATAACAGATGCTAATCAAACTTTGACATATCCTTGAAAGCAATTGCAAATAATGGCGAAATTCCTTGAGGAATCTCTGATTTTGAAATTCTCAAATTTCAAGAGAGAATCCCACTGTCATTGACGGATGTATTTCATCATAGGATGATATTTTTGTCTACGAATATTATCCTTAGATATTAGATAATTTAATCTTGGAAATTTGCAACATAAATAAAACAAATCTTAAACCTCAGTTCGGATGATGCAAATCATAAAAATTAGATTATTTAAAATAGGTTTTTCATCTAGGGAAAGACATTTGAATAAATTACAGGATACGGAGTTTGTTCATATTGAGTCTTTTTCAAAAATATTACCCATTTAATATATGTATATAATTTCACTGAATATATATTATTGCATTATACAGAATTTTTGACAGACATCTATTGATAGAACATATTGAATATCAAATGTCTGTCTGTCAGTCACAAAAGAGATTATATATATATATTCATGTATAGATGTATAAGTGCAATTGTGTGTATATATATTTTCATCGTATTACTTAAGAATAAGTGTATATCAACAGAAGAATGTATATTCGTTATTCTGCATTTGCCAGTGTTTAATTTTGTACTAATTATTGTAATTTCTCATCAACAAGGTATATATATATATACATACATACATACATACATACATACATATATATATATATATATATATATATATATATATATATATATATATATATATATATATGGTAAAAGTAAGAAATTCTAGTAATATAAAATGTTATAAGTGATCCGCAACAAGAGCTCAATTTATTTATTATTAAAGTGAAATATAATTAATAAAAATAATAACATCCAAAATCACCTCATATAGGGAATAACCTATTTCGGTAGACGATGATATCTGTCGTCTGTTTTATCAACACCACTGAGGACTGAGTTCGTGTCAGAGATAGAAATTTAACAGTGAAACTAAAAAAAAACGAATAAATAAAAAAAACAATCAACAACAAGTCGAAGAACTAATACAGACTTTATCCAGTTAAATGTTTCTGTCAGACGAAAGGCACAAGGGAGGGATCAAGGTAAGTTGAAGGGAAGAAGTTTTACCCTTATGACATTAATTTGGGGCTATATAAAGAATGAAATATTAATTTAAAATTAAAAGAGGAATACATACATATTATATATATATATATATATATATATATATATATATATATATATATATATATATATATATATGGGGGTTGGACAAAATAATTGGAACAGTTGCATCCACTCCTATATTTCAAAGACCTAATATATTAAGAACTTTAACTAAAACTTCGTAATTGTAGATTATATATATTGTAAATACGTTTATTTATCTAATTTACTGTCTTTGGCTTATTTATTTTTAGAATTTAGTAAAAATTAAGCTAAATGCATGACCTCTCCGAGTTCGAAAAAGAGCAAATTGTTGAAGCTCGCATGGCAGGAGCCTCGATCACTAAGGGTGCCGAACTGTTTGGTTTTTCAAGAGCTACCATATCAAAAACACTGATGCGATTCGAGAAACATGGCAAGACCTCTAGCAACCGTAGCAATTCAGGCCAGACGTGCAAACTTACTGACAAGGACTGACGTGCATTGAAACGCAATTTGGCAAAAAATCATCGGACAAATGCGGCCAAAGTGACTGAATAGTTCAGTTTCTACTAGAACTGTTCACCTTGAGCTGCATGGAAGAGCCGCTGTGAGGAAACATCTTTTCTCCATTCACAACATTCAAAACAGGTTGAAGTGGTGCAGAGATCACAATGCCTCGTCTATAGACCAATGGAAGCAAGTCATATTCTCAAACAAGTCCAGTTTTTCTCTTTTTCCAACTTCAGGGTGAGTTTATATGTGGAGGCAGCCCAAAGAAGCTTACAATCCTGACTGCCTTCTTCCAACAGTGAAGCATCGAGATGGATCAGTGACAGTTTTGGCCGCCATATCATGGAAATGTCTCAGTCCAATAGTTGCCCTGCATGGTAGAATCAACAGCCAAGATTACCTGAACATTTTAGGAGATCATGTTCATCCAATGGCCAAGACTTTATTCCCTGATAGTGACTGCATCTTCCAAGACGATAATGCGCCAATACATACCGCTCGAGTGGTTAAGAATTGGTATGAAGAGCATGAAAGTGAGCTAGAACACATGGAGTGGCCTCCCCAATCTCAAGATCAATATTATTGAACATTTGTGGTGGATTTGGGAGCATCAAGTTAGGAGCCACTATCCTCCACCATCGTGTGGTAAAGAGCTGGGGAAGGTTTTAATGGAAGAATGACTGAAAATTCGTCTGGATGAAGTCAGGAAGCTGTATGATTCAATTCCTGGACGTATTAACGCTGACTGTGAGGCTAAAGGAGGACGAACTTCATATTAAATAAATTTTCTTTAAATTTAGCAGGTGTTCCAATTCTTTCGTCCAATCCCTGTATATATATATATATATATATATATATATATATATATATATATATATATAATATGTGTGTGTGTGTGTGTGTGTGTTTGTTTGTGTGAGTATATATATATATATATATATATATATATATATATATATATATATATATATTTTT